AGAGAAGATTTCGCAGTTCTCTAATCTAGGAAACTAAGCTGTCTTACTGCTGCTCAACTAATAAGGGAAGGGGTCCTAGTGTGTTCTCCCTGCCTTAATTTACATGACGTCTTGACCTGTGTTGATTGTCTACATACTTATATTTAAGTAGATTATTGTATGATTTTTAATGATAACAGATGGAAAGTGTGAAAGTAGGGTATTTTCTTTAATGTATGTGTACTAGTGTAATGGCTTATTGCTGATCAAGACTGAGTTTTGGTGAATGGGAACTTTTGCGTTTTTATAAAGGAGTTAAACTCAGATCTGATGGGTTCGAGTACCCCGAGGGAGGTGCCAGATCGACTTCTAGTTGTACTGGATCTTATCTTTTTTACGGTATCTCTATAATACGGAAAAATCTGGGTCTTGGTGTTTTACCTATCCTTTTTGCTCGAGTACCTTTAGCTCTCTTGTCTTAGTGATTCTTTCTCTTTTCTAGGTTATTTTCCGAGTTATAAAAAGGCAATTTTTTCATTTGCCAATGAATTGGGTGTAGTAGCTCAGCTCCATTTCGTTCCTTCTAGAGTTCTTACTTCCTTCAAATTACTTGAAAAGATTGATAAAAGAGATTCATTGCATGAAATCCTATATAGTTCAATATCATTGCAGTGCTGCTTGTACCTGCATTATTTAGTACGTGAAGATGATAGATTTTGGCCCCAACTCAATGCCAAAAGCTTGTTCATGGCTTGAGAATTGTCCAAGACAATATAGGAGACATCTCAACCAATATGGGACACTTAACAGTTAACACCGTCTCCCCTCCCCCACCCCACCTGCACGACCAGGAGTGGTCATTTTGGAAGCATGGACAACATAACATAGTTGCCCAACATTGGGTTAACCAAGAAAATGGAACTTGCGCCGAAGCCAATTGCAAAAGGAAATAATAAGCAAATGTTGAAGTTAATCAAGAATCATTTTACAACACTTCAGTCAATAAGGGACTGTCTTACGTGTACTAGTGACTCGTTCACCCCTAATAGTTTTAGCTCCCTGCTTTTGACTAATGCTTCTTAGTCAGTATTCAATATTATCATTTTAACTACGCCATGAGCGTCACAACCAGATTTAAGACAATTATACGAACCACAATCCTATCGTGGATTCTTTGTACAATTTATCTTTATACCAGAACTGTAGTTATACTTCAAAGCCTAGACAGTTTTATAGGCTTTGCTCAGCCATTGTGATAGTTGTCAGACTCTGGGATTTGAGTTATGTCTAATTAAATTTTATTGCACTTCTGAATTGGTTAATCTTTTCGAGGTAGTATATTATATAATACCTTAGGGTCGACTTTTTCTTGTGGAGATATCCGATCCTGCAGAAGTTCTACTCGAAGTTTAACTTTAGGAACCTTCTAATTCAGCCATATGATGAAGTACTGTCTAAATATGATGCTTTTGTAAATTGTAATAGTTACCTTCAGCAAATCAGCCCACATAAAATCACACATTCGACGGTTTGCGAATTTCTTAGTTGGTGAAGATATGCCACTGTTGGAATGCCCTTGCTAAAATTAGATTATTTGATTCATAGTTTGTATTGTCAGATCAGTAGCTTTATCTTGGAGCTGTGATATTTGATCAGGGTAATTCATAGTCAATCTGTTTTAAATGATGTATTTGCAACTGATATTTTGGTAGCTCTGCAATCTTGTTGATAAGGATATACTGCTTTTGATACACAGGTGCTAAAACTATATTAGTGAATCCATGATTTGTGTTGGCATATCAGCACTGATATATTTGTGGGTATGTGATACTCTTAGTTGGCAGGACTTATCCTTTGTGGATATACCATGCTAATTTCATAAATCAGTTTCGATATAAGGTTGATGATATTGGGTACTATAGCAAATTCTTGGTTGGTGATGATAAAATTGATTAGTAATTAATTGAGCCAACATCAAAAATGATTATGTTGGGAGCTGTAGCAGATTCTTAGGAAAAGAGAGCATGTCACCATGGATGCACCCGTGGCAGAACTTGTATGATGACTTGATAGTTTCTGATGGATATGATTTATCTGTACTGATATAACTTGATCTGTGACATTTGTAAAATACAAATTTTGGTAAGACACTACGAAACAGCTAATTATTATTAATTTTTTTTTTTGCTACATTTTTATTTTATAAAGTTCAACAGTTAATATATGGTCCTACAAGAGCGTGGTTCTGCCTTTCATCTGAGGCCACAAATTGATGATGAAGCATTTCTTAATAGTTGATGATACTTCTGAAAATATTGTCTGATCACTGGTCAATAATGTAATTAAGCAATGGATGGTTTGGATGACTAATGTGGGACTTGAATTTGCATGGATTGTCCTTTTTTTATGTGCCGAAGATAGTCATCCCTTCTAATTCGTGTATCTTTATCCTGAATTATTTGCAGATGTGGACAAAGCTTCATGAAGTTGGCAGTGAAATGATTTCTCTTTCAAGGAGCCTTTCAGACATATCAAGGGCTTCTTTCCAAGCTCAGGTATATGATTTCTCGCTAACTCTTGGTTCATTGAGTTGCTTCTTTCTTTTGCATACACTGCTGGTAAAACTGACTGATTTTAACCTTTTACCTCTTTAGGTGAGCTGTTCAACGCGTGGAATTACTGAGGATGGAAAAGATGAGGCAAGTCTTTTTACTGTCATGCTTTAGTGTTTCTGTTTTGAGTGGTAGATTATTCTGTGAGGTCATTTTGGTTGCTCTTCAGTCAGCTGCTTGGAGGAGAAACTGCGTTTGAAAACTGTGCCTGAAAATTTCAAATTCCTTATTGTTCTGTTAGCGTAAAATTTCTCACTCAGTGTAATACCTCCCAATTTCGGAATTTGGTTGTGGCACGTACCTGCCAGCCACCAAGTACTTGCAGTTATTCCAGATTTCTTGGGGAACCATTCAGGCAAACAATGTTACAAAGCTCTTAAAAGTGGTGTTGCAAGCCCTTTGTGGGGACATATAGGTACCGACCAAATATAATGCTCACTCACCGAAATGGTGTGGTCTTGTAGTCAAAATGAAGTGGGTGCATACCTTGGAGACTAGGGGTCAAATCCCAGCAGTGACAAAAAACACTAGGTGATTCATTGCCATACGTGTCTAAGCTTTGGTGCTGAGTTGCCCGGTACATATGTTGGTGGGAGATAGTAGATAGCGGCGGAATAGTCGAGTTGTGCATAAGCTGGTTTGGACACTACCGTTGTTAAAATTAAAAAGCTCATATATACTTATTTTGCTTTTGGTTTCAGTCCTTTGAGGTCCACATCCTTGGAATTATTCACTTAGTTTAAATATGAAATTATAATTAAAAAATCTTGCTTTTGTCAAGACAGTGCTGCAATTTTGATAAAATTGACTGAAGTAAAATTCACCAAAATTCCAAGGCATTGCATCGGTCGTATCTTTAATTCTTTTTACAACTTGAAACTGATTTGTATGTTTTAACATATTATAAACTTCAGGTTACTATATTTTCTTTTCTTTTCGATGTTGACAGTTGGTTGCTAAAATGGAACAAGCAGAGATCTCTGGTGTAAATAAAAGGTGTGCTTGCCAATGTTGTGGGGAGAAGGCGGATGGTAGAGATAGTTTAGCTTGTGATTCATGTGAGGAGATTTACCACGTCTGCTGTGTTGAGCCTACTGTGAAAGAAATTCCACTAAAAAGTTGGTATTGTGCCAAATGTACTGCAAAGGGAATTGAATCACCGCATGACAACTGTGTAGTATGCGAAAGACTCAGCGCCTCTAGATCAGTGATAATTGAAGATGGGGTTGAAGAATCTACAACTGAAGACATGCTTCTGGAATTGGAGGAAAGCTTAAATGGTTTAGTGGATGATGAACTTAAACTATGTAAAGGAGTTGAGGATCTGCCCTGTTGCAACATATGTAGAGCTGAGGTGGGAAGTAATGGAAACTATAAAATATGTGGCCATTCCTTCTGCCCTCACAAATTTTACCATGAGAGGTGCTTGACTAGAAAGCAGTTGGATACTTATGGCTCCTGCTGGTACTGTCCGTCGTGTCTGTGTAGAGCTTGCCTTAAAGATTGTGATGATGACAAAATTGTACTTTGTGACGGCTGTGATCACGCTTATCATATTTTCTGCATGCAGCCACCACGCACTTCAATTCCTAGAGGGAAATGGTTTTGCAGAAAATGTGACATGCAGATACAGCGTATACGCAAAGCAAAAAGGACATATGAGACTAAGCAAAATGAATTGAAAAAGAGAACTGAACAATGTGGAAGATTAGGTGTACCAAAAGGAAAGGATGAGGAAGCTTTAAACAAATCTGGAGGTGTGGAAATGCTTCTAAATGCTGCCAAAACTCTGAACTATCAGGAGGATTTAGCTTCTTTTGGATCGAAGGACCAATAGAACTTAGATTATGCATGAGTAGCTCTGTAGACGACGGATGTTGTTCCAGAGTAGTCAGTGCTACATGACCTGGTTGCTGGATCTTTGTGGAGTGTAACAATGACACAAGTCTTGAACTGACTCTCAGATTTTGGTAGCATAGAATTTCTTGTCTAACTGATAGTCCTAACAGCCATGCCTGAACTGTTTCAGCTTGTATTTTTGGTACATATTCTTTCTGGGATAATCAGCAACTGATGTTCCATGTGTTGTAAAATGAGAGGAGCATAAGGATTAGCCTGTTTTCCGAATATCAAAGGGAAGTAATCTGTCGTGATCTGTTGTATAAGCCATTGCTGCATTGACTGTATCAAGTTAAATTTCTTAGCATTAACTTGGCTTGTTCTATATTTAAGTGAAAGTGCGGATATATCAGCCTTTTTATGTTGATGTTTCACTGATCTTCATGTCACAAGGTGTTCAGATTGGCAGTGTAGTTCTTCATTTGAAGCCTTTTGTGAAAATGCATGTTACAAGTAATCCTTCAATTAACTCCAAAGTAAAACAAAAAAGAAAAAAGGTACAGTTGGTTATCAAAAAAGAACAAAGGTACAGTTAATGAACCATCACCATTCTAAAACAAACTCCTCCAGTGGCAAGGATCTTTGAAATGCACTTGTAAATGTAATAATGTCAGTTTGATTTGCTCAACAGAAAGTTACTAATCTGAATTCTTTTTACTAAAAACAGAACAACGAAGTAACTCTAGATTAGAGGTCAAAAGACTACATAGCAGCACATCTGTAGTGAAGGTATACATTTCAGTGGGGGGCATCGAGTTTTATCTTTGTAAACAAGCTTCTGACTTCTCTCCTCGCTGAGAAGCGCACACAGAAAATTCTTGCTGTTGCTGCACCAGTATTTTAAGCAACAATGACTCGAAGTCATATGTGCGGGTCAAGCCCATCATTATGGAAGCAGTACATGTTCCCTAGCCTCCAGTGTTTTACCGCTACATTTTCAAACCTTCAACCGCTCTCAGATTTGTCTACTACAGCAAAACGGTTTTGGTTCATGCTCAAACCTGATGTCTGTAACTGTTTTCTCCTCTGAATATGATGCAAGGCCGCTTGTCGGTCATTACGCACCTCAGCAGAATCCGGCTGCAAAACAAGTCTGATTCACTTAGGTGCATAAATAATAGACTTAACACGTGAGCATCAAATACAGAGGCAGTGACATGCTTAGCACAATATTCCAATGAACATTTCAGAACTAGGATCTGACAGAAGTTAGCATGATAAATAGAGTTTCGCACTTGCTAAAATCTCAGAAGACAGTTTGCTCTCCAGATACAAAGGAAATGCTGACATTGGGGTATTGCATATAAAGCAGAGAATATGCATTTATTCATGAAGCCTCAAAAGAAACATCTCCAGTGAAAGAGGATCCCTAGAGGCAGCAGGTATGAATGTTATAAATATATCTAAGCTATACCTTGATGGCTAGTGCTTTGTCTAAGCTTTCGATAGCACTGTCAGGCTCACCATAATTCAGCTGTGCTCTACCAAGGGTGATCCACGCCTGCAACAAACAGAGGAACTAGTAATAAGGACTAGAATAAAAGGCAATGTCTTGACTGTTTCCTAAGAATCAGAATGCTGTTAATCGCTTTTCAGTCAAAGCTTCTTATTCCAAAAGCTGTAAATAGTTTTGATGTAAGAAATGTAAGAGAAAAGGAGCCTGTGACTTTCACTTGATCGTGCCATATAACTCTAAGCTTAATTATGCATGCAAGTAAGACCAGGAAACTCAGAAGTGCAAAGCTGCTTCGACCTGCATGAGGTAGCTTGTCTTGGTAATTTATTACCAAGTGAAGACAAAGAAGCATCACATTCTCATAGTCTAGGGGACAGATGCAGGAAGAGGTAGAACAGACGAGGAAGTAATGTGCATGTCGGGTGAATAACTAAAGCTGAAAGTCAGGGGACATTTGTATATCAAAACTAGCACATGACGCTCATAGCTAGTTAAAATTCGACAAATTATTCTTTAAGTATTGAAACTGAACAGAGCACAGATAAAAATCAGTGTTCCATTTTTCATAAGGATCATACGATATAGGCAAAGGTGGTGTGGGTTCCAATTACTATAGTGCACTGTGAGTTGATTTTGCATCCCTAAAGCAGGTAAATTTGCAAAAGGTGAAGCAATAGCAGAAAACGAATGACAACAATTTCACACACCTCAGCCCAGCTTGGTTCCAATCCAGTTGCACCTGCTCAAAAAGGAAGCAGGTTATATATGTGTCATGAGATTATATCATCAAAAGTTATTTTATATACAAATGCAGATCACTGACTTAAAGGGCATTAGTTACAATCCAAGTAGGCTAGAAACCCAACTTCGAATATCGCTATGCCAGATATAGATTTACAACGGGAAAGATGTGGAGAAGAAAATTAGCTCATGCTACCGAAAAGGAAAACAGAAGATAGACTTAGTCGTAATCTAGGTTCCCATTGGCTGGTATTAAGATGATTTGAAACGATATATTTGTGTGATTAATCCATAACTTTAAAGATGTGTCAAAAAGTTGGCATTAAGGAACTTCAGAGCCTAAAAGTAGGTCCAGTAACCTTTCATGAGATATAACATTGAAAATAAATCCATTAAAATTTAAAAGAATGTCTACAAATTGGCATTATCCCACTCAGAATAACTTGCTCAGAAAACAAGGAGAATCAATTTGAGAATAATGCAAGAAGTGTCAAAACATACGAGTAGCAGCTTTTAGCGCATTCCATGTTTCTCCAAGTTCAAGCAAAATTTGAGCCTTCTGTTCATGCAGAATTGCACGATCTGGCATCAAAAGTATTGCAGCTTCCCACTTCCCAAGTGCTTCACGATATTTCCCATCCTTAAAAAAATTACAATAAAAATAAGAATAAAAGGCTTAACCCTAGTTGAGGGATCATGCTGCCGGAAATGATATCAGCAATTAATTAAGTGTTGGAAACCACTTATTCAGTGCAGAGGCTATTTTTACGACTTCCTTTCAACTTTAGGGCCACCATGCAATAAACTTAGCATTGCGTTTAGCCTCAGTACAACCTTACCTCCACTCAAGAATCTGTAAGAATTGCTTTCTGCAGTGGATTTTCCATTGTACTTAGACTTGCCTTTAAGTGCTAATGCAAAATATAGTACACATCCAGGTCACTTCATACTCAACTTACCATTGCTAGTTTCAAGACTCAACTCTTCACTTCAATTCACCTTCTAACTATAAGCTTACTGTCGTGTTGAAGCTCACTTTTAAGTGGCGCAATATAACTATTCTGCAAATAACCTTGTTTTTCACATGGCAAGACAGTTATTACAACAACAACAAACCCAGTATAATCTCACAAGTGGGGTCTGGAAGGTTAGTGTCAAGTGTGTATGTTTGACCTCCAACTCACAACTTCAAACTTAACGTTATACTGATGCAATCACCTTTTAAGTGTTTTTTTAAGGTAATGGGAGGTTATCAAAATCCAGGGTCAGGGCATGCCCCTCAACAAGGACTTACATTGTATCTATAAAATGTCCAGCAAAATGGAATGTTCACAGCAGGAGTTCAATAGACAGACACTCCAATTATGTCCAGCAATCAGACGAAACAAAAACCTCCTTAAAACTAACAACATGCCCTGCCTTACCCCCTGGAGTTCCTGAGAAAATATAGAGTTACAATTGCTAAAAGAGAGAAAGAGGGAGAGACAAAGAAATAGAGTCAAAGGGAGTAAAGAGAGGGGATGATAATGCACCCAAGGGTGTAGCTTAGCAGTTGAGGAGCTAACGAAGACCATGCGATACCATCTGAGGCAAAAAGCTTGGAGATTTCTTTCCATTTTGCCTAAATCCTGGTGGGCAGATTTAATCATTACATGTACTAGCGGGAGAGGGTGCATCTAAATTGGCCCAAACACCACCATGATCAAAAGGGGATGAGAATACCTATTGAATTCTTAAATATTCAAGTATGTTAAACGACGACAACTTAGAAATATTGGAATAACTAATACTCCATTAGAATAATACTAGATAAAACCTCATCTCTAACATTAAAATAATCTTCATTTTGTTTCCAACTAATAGACAGAGATAACTAAAATCAACTGATAACCATATCATCCAGCTGCAATTTGCTAAATCTAATCCCAACCAACAATTTTCAACTTTCACATTAACACACATAATAGTATTCAACAAAGACGCTCACATAATAGAAATAACAAGTTCAGCTATACGCACTGAATAAACTAAAAAAAGAAAAAGAAAAGAAAGGTGAAGGAGGTCGGTCACCCAAGTAAAGAAATACCTCAGCAAGCTTATTTCCTAGTTCTTGAAAGGATTCCACAAGCTTTATTGTATCATCATCTCCATTAGTATGAGAAATTAAGTTACTCTCCGACACGGCTTCGACAGTGAAATCGTGAGTAGGATTTTCAACTTCGAAAGGGAGGTTTTGGGAAAGAGGGGTAATGGGTCTCTTATTATTAGGTTTCTTTTCGCTCTGATTTTTCCATGTCATCTTCATCATCTTCTTTCTCTAGTCTTAAGTGAAGTTGATTCTCTGTTTTGCTTGCCGCAGAAGAAGAAGAAGAAGAAGAAGCGAATTAAGCAATTTAAAGGAAGGTAATCAAAGTGACACGATTGGAAAAAATGACATAAAGTCTGGATTTTTGGTCCATTTATCCAACACTTTCAAGGAATCAGCTGTTGCATAACAATATCTCAGAAGCAAGGTGTCCACTGAAATGCCCAATATAGCCCCTGATAGTCGGTAAGCTAACATGAAATAATTTCACTAAAAAATTATACTTAAAAACTACTCTCGTCATTAACTTAATTGAATTTCTCATTCTAGTAATAGAGTCATTACAATTTTTTGTTGTCACTTTAAATTAGTTAAATTTTACCTATATTAACTTTAAAGCCACAGAATTTTATTGATAACAGGAAAATTATCTTGATGGGCAGGTTTTGATATTATTGTAGGTAAGTTTGAGTTACTGTATAGTTGGTAAAGCTAAGTTATTTTATTATAACAAAAGAATAGTTTTCTAATTTTGGGTAAAATTTGTTGACTCTACTATTATAGTGGTTTTTTAGTTCAATTATTATAACGCGACAACCAGGGGCAGAGCCACCTTGTGGGAAGCGGTGTCACGTGATACCGCTTTGTCAGAAAGATTTATTAAATGCATATATAGACATAAGCAAAACCAGATAATACAAGTGACACAACTTGAATAAAATAGCTCGTTGTCCAGCTGGTTAAGCGTTTCAACTTCTTAGTAGAGGTCGGGAGTTTGAATCCTTTTGGTGGCACGCTTAAGTTTTTATTGTTTTGGAGACATTATTTATTAAAGAAGAATTAAAATATATTATGTATTAGTGAGGCTTGAACCACTTACCTCTAACAAAATTAAGCAACAACAAAAATCACTTGAGCAAGAATTCATTTGTTAGTCAAGTTGACAATAAATATACTCAAATCATTCTTCGAAAAAGACATACTTGGCACTAGTATTTCTAATGAGACTATCATTAATACATTTCAGAAAATAAACTCGTTGTAGAGATTTATAGTAATGTTTTGATTTTTTTTTATAAATATGATGTCATTATAGTTATTCATTTGTTCACCTATTACAAATGTGACACCGCTTACGAAAAATTCTACGTACGCCATTGACGACAACAATTATGTTGTATATTTAACCCTATATCAATGAGTGAAATTAACATTGCAGACAAGCTTAAACTCACTCTTCTCTATTCATCGCGTACTTGCATTGCACACACATGTTGTATCAATTATTACAAAATTAGTGAACTCGTTCGCAATTTGGACGATGGTAAAGTACCCCGTGTAATTTACAAAAACGATTAAAGGAAGTATATGCCTTAGTTTTTCATTCAACTAGCCACTAATTATTGCTTCCTTTTCGTACGTTGTTTATTGATTTAAGATTAAAGGAAGTATATATCCGATAGGTCGTTTTGAGTACTAGCCTTAATTTTTATATTCGGAAATCTCTCATAACTTCATTTGATGTTTATTGGTTTGCGTGTGTGGTCCGTGTCGTTTTCTGGAAAGCTTTTACGTAAAATTTTGAAGAAAAATTGACTTTTGACTTAAAATAAGGTTTGGATTGACCGCAATCGTTCTTAATAAACGGCCTCAGATTGGTGTTTTGACAATTCCGGTAGGTTCATATGGTATTTTTGGACTTGTATGTATGTTTAGTTGGGGTCCCGGGGTGATCCGAGCGCGTTTCGGTGCATTATGTGAAAGATTGTGAAAATGAGTTTTTAAGTAGAAATCTAGACTTTTGATGATCGATTCTTGTTATTTGATGTTGTTTTGATGATTTGAGGTAGCGGAAAAGTTTGTAGGATATTATTACACTTGTGTGATATTCGGTTTGGAGTCCGAGGGGATCGAATGAGATTTGGGATGCATTGCGGACTGATTTGGAACAATTGATACATAACTGTTGCTAGTGTAAACCTGCATATCTCGCAAATACGAGCCTCGCTTTTGTGAGTGACTGCTCGCATTTGCAAAAGGTGTTGGGGAATTAGCAATTCGCAATTGCGAAGTTTGGATTGCAAATGCGGATTAGGGGAGCTCTGCAAATGCGATATGGCTGTCGCATTTGCGACACTTGAGCTTCGCAAATACGAAGCTTTGATCACATTTGAGCACATGGGGGTAGTCGCAAATGCGAGGCTTTTGTCGCAGTTGCAACTTCTGGGGGTCTGATGCACTGATTGCATTTGTGATCAGTGTTTCGCAATTTCGGACATCGCATTTTCCAATTGCAACGTTTGCAGCTGAGTAAAAGGTGGGAAAGTCGGGACTTAGCTCATTTGACACTATGTTTTAACCCTAAACACTCTAGAGGCGATTTTTGAAGAGGATTTTCTTCTCAAATTCATTGGTAAACAACTTTAACTAGTTTTCAATCAATTTTAATTGCTTTTCCATGAATTTTATCATCAAATCCATAAATTTCAAGGTAGAAATTAGGAATTTTGAGTAGAATTTAGGAATTTTGTAAAATTGAGTTTTAGACCTCAAATTAAGGCCGGATTTCGAAATAAATCACATATCCGGGCTCGGAGGGTGAATGGATAATCGGGCTGGGGGGTGACTTTTTTAATTATGATCAAAATTGAACCCTTTTCATTCGTGTATAGTTTCTAAAGCTTGTTTTGAATTATTTGGACGATTATTGGCTAGATTTGGTTGGTTTTGAGGGTTGTTCGAAAGGCAAAGCCGTGGTTGATTATTAATTTAGTTGCGTAAAGAGATAAGTATCGTGGTTAACCTTGACTTGAGGGAATTAGGACTTAATTGGTCTATTTGTTACTTGATTTTATGTGTGGGGACGTCTTATAAGGTGACAAATGTACATACATTGTCATGGGTTAAGCATGTGGGGTGAGCTTTTAACTGTGCATTTTAACTATATCATGCCTTCTTATACTCCGTGCTACTATTCATGTCATGCCGTCATTGCTACTTGTCCTTACTTGTTAAATACATGTCTTTCTTGCTACATGCCTTCTTTTGCTACATGTTTCGTACACCCATGTTTTACTTGTCCGTTTTTACTTGTTCTATGCCTTTAATTGTTTATTTGGCTTTAGTTGCTTCTATTTCGCTTTGGTTTGTTATATTGCTTTGCCTTAGAGTATTTGCTTGTTTTGGTTCCTTTCTCATATGTTGAGAGCTACGCCATAGTTGTTTGTAGTATTGATATTATTGTTTGGGATCGGGTTGCATGTTGCAACAGATATTGATAATTATTATTTGGAATCGCGTTGTACGCCGCAACGAATATTGATATTTTTGTTTGGGATCGGGTTGCACACCGCGGCGGATATTGATATAGTTTTTGGGATCGGGTTGCATACCACAATGGTGTTGGTATATATATGTGTGTGAGTCGGGTTGTCCGCCGCAACAAAGAATATATGTTATAACTGTTCTTGACTGTTGGTTCTATATCTATGTTGTATTGTGAATTTGAACATAGACGATATTCCGGGGCCTTCTGTTATGTATTGTTTGTTTCGGTTTTTGTGTTAGTCGTTGCCTCTCTATTCTATTATTGTTTTTATTTATACTCGTACAAGTTTATTGTGAGTGCCTTGTTATAGCCTCGTTACTACTTCGTCGAGGTTAGGATCGACACTTACGGAGTACATGAGGTTGGTTGTACTCATACTATACTTCTGCACTTCTTTTGCAGATTCTGGTGTTGGTCCCTCAGCATTTAGCGGAGGCTTGCTCGGATCGTCATTTACCCAGAGACTTGAGGTAGATCTGCACGGTGTTCGCAGATCCTGAAGTTTCCTTCTTATCTTTATGCTGTTCACTTCATTCTGACAGTTATATTTTATTTCGGACCTTGCTTGTAGTAGTTTTAGTAGCTCATATAGTTGTGACACCTAATTCCGGGATTAGACTAGACAACATATTTGGAGTTTATTATATATATTTTGAAGATCTATAGCTTTATCTTCTTATTAATATGCTTTTAAAATTGTTAAAAATGAATATTGTGTAGCTAATGTTGGCTTGTCTAGCAAGTTGTTGTTAGGTGCCATCACAACCTCGTGGTTGGGATTTCGGGTCATGACAAGTTGATATCAGAGCACTAGGTTGAATAGGTCTCACGAGTCATGAGCAAGCTTAGTAGAGTCTGGAGGATATATACGGAGACGTCTGTACTTATCTTCTAGAGGCTATAAGGCTTTAGGAAATTTCACTTTCTTTATTTCTCTATCGTGCGACTTTATTCTATCATAGTGTTTGAATTATTCTATTCTTGTTCTCTCATAGATGGTGAGGACACGCACAACATCCACAACTGATCAGGACCCGAAGGCCTAGGTTGTATCCACTACCAGGGATAGGGGCCGCGACCGAGGTAGGGCCAGAGGCAAAGACAGAGCTCAGCCTAGAGCACGCACAACAACACCTATTGCAGAGCCTTAGATCAAGAAGGATGAGGAGGTACCCGTTCAGACCGTGCCAGTTGGACAAGATCAGGTCCCATAGGGGTTCATTGCTACCCCAGTACTTTACCACGCCCTAATCCGCCTGGTTGGCCTTATGGAGAGAGTGGCCCAGGCCGATGTGTTTCTTATGGCACCAGCCATGTCTCAGGCTGGGGGAGGATCTTAGACTCCTGCTACTCACATTGTAGAGCATATGACTCACGGATATCAGACTCCGACAGTTCCACCAGTTGGAACAGTTCAGACTGTTATTGCTACAAAGCCCGGGGAGGGACCCACGATGTCGTTCGGATGGCTGAAGTGGTTGGACAAGTTCACCAAGTTCTTTCCTATTCGCTTTGGTGGCACACCTTTTGAGGACCCCCAAGATTTATTGGACCGTTTCCATGAGGTATTGCGCAATATAGGTATAGTGGAGTCCAAAGAAGTTGACTTCGCAGTGTTTCAGATGGATGGCTTTGCCAAGAGGTGGTGGCAGGAGTATGTTCGGGTCTGACCAGTAGGTTAACCTCCTCTCACTTTGGATCAGTTCTCACAACTATTCTTGGAGAAGTTCATCCCCTTCACCCAGAGAGAGGATTTTTGCAGTTCGTTTGAGCGCCCCCAGCAGGGTAGCATGACCATTACCTAGTACGAGACCAAATTCGTGGATTTATCCCGCCATTTAGTTGTCTTAATTCCTATTGAGAGGGAGAGGGTGTTGAGATTTATAGATGACCTTACTTATGGTATTAGGCCATAGATGGATAGAGAGACTGAGGATGATATTTCCTTCACTCAAGTTATGGAGATTGCTAGGCGGATCGAGAGGATTCGTGGTCAGGGTAGAGAGGAAGCATCTGAGAAGAGGCCTTGTCATTTCAGTGGTTTCAGTGGTAACCTTGTCGTGAGGCAGGGTTTATTTGGTAGAGTCCATTCTATCAGGCCGGTTCAGCCAACTCTCCAGGTATCACATGGTGCTTTGGGCAATCGTAGTTCTTATGGGTCTTGTCCTGAGCAACTAGCATACTGTGCACCTTCAGCTCTCATTAGTGCACCGCCAATTTAGACCTATCACAACAGTTATTCGAACTATCAGGGTCAGTCCTAGATTCAACAGCCACATCAGCACAGAAAGTGCTTTGAGTGGGGAGGTATGGGTCATATCAAGAGGTACTGTCCCAGACTTCAAGGCAGTACTCGCCAAGCCCAAGAGTATTGCCACAAAACACCCGTAAAGCCTCATACTACGCCAAAATAGGCTTTTAGTGGCAATATTTATTGCCGCAAAATTATTTAGCAGCAATAAATTAAATGCCATTAGATCTAGGGTCGCTAAATCCTCTAGCTGCATTTATGCCGAATGCTGGTAAAGACCCAAATTATTGCCGCAAAAACTAATTACTTATAGCAGCATTTATTTAGCAGCAATTACTATAGCCAGTAAAGTTGATTTAGAAATGTAGTATTTAACATATTTTGCGGCTTTTGTTATTGCCGTTAAAATTCAACAATTGCCATTAAAGGTAATTTATTTTAGTGGCAATTATTATGGTGGCTAAACTGACCATAAATTCACCTTAATCCACTCATTTAAGAAACACTATTTTATAGCATAAAAAATAAAGTCATAAGAGCAATACCTTCTAACTAGAAGAATTATCAAACTCAAAACAATGCCATTTACTTGAAACAAGAACTAACAAAGCCGACACACCAACTTAGTTATCGACTTGTAAGAAATGTAGTATCCTTATGTACAAGACAACTAAACATCAAATTGAAAACTGAGTCTCTCATCAACAATGTGATATTCTCAATCTTCTCTTCCATTTATTAACAATGTGATACTCTTGTCTGCTACCATTGTGTGACCTTAGAGCCAAATTTCCTTGTTTAAGTTTCTGCATTTCACCATCATACAATAATAATTTTTTGCAGATAAAATACATATTATAACATATACGAGAGCAAATCCAAGAAGATAGCAAGAATTAAAGTAATATACATGTAACCATTTGAAGACAACTAAAAATAAGAAAACAGAGTCATATTTGATATTATGTCTCTCAAATTGTAAGCCTACATATGCTCCCTCAATTCAAACTAGAATGAAGCGATAGGTTAAAGCGCCATCACTCTGCCAATAACATTGCTAATATATAAGGCATATGTCTAGGAATCTGTTGCTCCAGTTTGTTTCCTTGTAAAAAGAAATAGCTGAAGTTGGATTGAATTTTATAATTTCATTTTGTTCGTACGTCTTTTTTCTATTTCATCAATCGACATTAAATGTCGAGTCTGTTTGCTATGGATCCCCTCCCCTCCCCTCTCTTGCCCTTTATGTAAAACAATGGCAACTTAAACATGGTAAAATAGCTGCCATATGACCAGGAAGTCACGAGTTCGAGCCGTGAAAACAGCCTCTTGTAAAAATGCAGGGTAAGACTGCGTACGATAGACCCTTGTGGTCCGACCCTTCCTCGGACCCCGTGCATAGCGAGAGCTTAGTGCACTGGGCTGTCCTTTTTAAATAAGAATGGCCAAGTGCTTCAAATAAGAATCAGTGCATAGGTTCTAGTAACATAATTACAGGAATTTTAATACAGAATTAAGTTGTTCTATAGCTGCCTGACCTCAAAATTTCTCACCGGTTAATTAGATTCTAACATCAACTAGCGAGGTCCTTCAATCCAACAAACTAGTCTTTCATTAAAAACACTTGGACATAACACAGCTTCTAAAAAACTCATCAAATGAAACACTATACATCACAAAACATAGGAACAAGGCATAAACATATTACATTATTCCCTATCGGGCTAATTCCATTTACACAATAAGTTGTAACATAACAAATATCAAACCAGTGTTTTTTTCAAATCAGATACATAAGTTTTTCTTTTTAATAATAAAATCGGTATATGGAGAAGTACAAAAATTCACATGATATTTACATTCTTACCTCTAAACTTTAACACCCGAGCTCGACTACTGCTGGTGAATAGTGAAAGGCAAAGTTTTGTGTGAATCTGCGGAGGAAAATTTCTAACCCTAACGATAAGAAATTTCAGAACGTATATGAGAAAGTTCAAAATTGAGCTGAACTTACAGAAGCTATGGAGATTGCCGAGATTTGATATACAAAGCAAAGAGAATGACTTCAGATAGTAGAGTAAAAACACCAAAACCAATACAAAAATCGCAAAAATCAAAATTAAAACAAAAAGCAAAGACAATATATACAGTAATAGTATAAAGTATAAACATATATAAGATCGATCAGATTGATATTACACTAAACTTAACTAAAATGCTAGCTGAATCGAATAAGTACATTTATAGAAAAATCGAGAAGTAGATAAAAGAATAACTAAGTTGAATTGAAAAGACACTCACCGATCAGAGGAAGAGAAATGGAGAGAGAGAGAGAGATCGTAGGCTTCGAATTTGAATGGGGGAATTTAGAGACTAAAAATAATTGGAGGGAAGCTAAAGAGAATTGGAGGTCACACAACTTGAATTTGAAAAGGCTAGTTTTTCTCTTTCTCGACTAATATTTTTAGTTTGTCACTAGAAAGTATTCTTTTACCAGCTAAAGATTAACTGCCGGTAATTAATGACTCTAGAATATAAATTAGCGGCAATTAAGCTATTGCCGCTAATTAATTACCGCTAAATGTCTAATTTGTTGTAGTGGATCACCACTCCAAAAGAACCGATCACTTCTATTACTATTTTGATCCGACCCACTATCAAACTGTCTTATTTCTTTGAGTTCCTCCCGACTTGCCTTCAAGTTAACACTTCTTCTTGCCAGTATACTACGATCCTTAACAAAGCGCACCACAAGAGATCCTAGCATAAAATCACATCGTCTTAAAGCCCATAACCACTGCATTCCCTCTTAAGCACCCAATAATACCGCAACTGAGATACTCACTCTGAATAAACCTTCTGTAAATTTGAAGCTGTTTCTTTAACCCCTCTGATACGGAAATGTAGAATCACTCATATTACAGAAATACCAAAAGTCTCAACGCCATCCAATGCAAATCTCAGATCTTAGCCATATACAAATCCTGGTAATCCTCAACTACCATATATGAATCTTGAACTCATTAGAACTTTCACGAGATTCGTCCACCCTGCCCTAATATTCAATGCACCACCAATACGAGTCGATCGACTGGTGCCCCATTAGCACACAAACACCTAAAGAAGTAACCCCTACCTTTCAGCAACCGAGTGAATCCTTTCTCCTAGCACACTACATATACCACGAATAACAAACCTGAATTATTCCAAGATTCCCATATGTCCATAAAGTATAGCACAACATGCATCCAGTAATTCCCTTGCTCAAGTTGCAACTGATCCACAAATATGCCTCAGGCCCAAATTGATATAACACATGACCATACAATCTGATCGGTGATAATATGCTCCCCCACTTAGCTCGAAGCCATAGAACATAACATCCGATAACCCGCAACACCCTTACTCCATTTGAAAAAAAAGAATTTAGTCAAATATTTTTGAAAATAAACTATTATCTTATGTATACTAGTTCATTTCCAAGAAATTAACAGGAGTCATCCTAATTAATCCATTATACCCGCACAAACACCACACACTCACACATACACACACGCACATACACACACACGCACTCTCTCACAAACACACACACACACCATGCAACAATAAACTAAATAAAAAGTAGTTTTCGGAAACTTAATTAGCTTGAAAGATTAATAGGTTGGTGGTTCATACATACGAATTACACAATCTTTTAATTTAACATAAGACTTTAGATAAAAATGAATATATACGTATTATATTCCAAATCCAAAACCCAAACACAGAGACACATTCTATGCAAGAATGAACAACAATGTTCGTTCAATCTTACTTGAGCTAACTCAGAAATTCACCAGAATTTACATGAAAAAAAAACAGAGTAAGCCATAAACAAAAGCTTCAACTCCTATAAATACCTCACATGAACTACTTCTGAAAACACCATAAGTTAAGCAACAAAGCAATTTCATACACTCTCATATTATACGTAACTCTACGACATCAGAAGAGATGGACAATAATAATGGAAAGGGTAAAGGATATATTGGTGAAATGTCACGATCCAAAATTCCACCACAGGCGTCGTGATGGCACCTAGTCTCTAAGACTAGGTAAGCCGATTTCTATTACATTTTGAAGCCATTTTTTTTTAAAATTAAATAAGTAACCAAAACTAACAGCGGAAATAATTACAATACACAACCTCCCAAAACTGGTAATACTGAGTCACGAACTCTACTGAATACATGGAATGATCACGAGTACCGAATATACAATACTATTTGATTACAATTTAACAGTACAATGAAATAAAAAGACTCCAAGGGACTGCGACGACCAAACAGCTCTACCTTAAATCCTTACAATCCCGCTTTAATTCTTCTCAAGCCCAATAACTTCAATACCTGGCTCTGCACAAAAATGTGCAGAAGTGTAGAGTGAGCACACCACAGCGGTGCCCAGTAAGTATCAAGACTAACCTCAATGGAGTAGAGACGAGGTACAGTCAAGACACTCACTAGTCTAATAACCTGTGCAATATAATATACAAAATAATAGAAAATAAATAATAATAAAGGCAGGATAAAACAACCAGTGATATGCACAACAGACAACAAACAATACCATTAATATCACTCAATAATTAATAAACACAAATACACCCAATTAAATCAAGCCCTTTAAATAAATTTCTTTCACATAGTTCTTCCAGATAACTCTCTTTCAAATATAATTTTCTCAAATAATTATTTTTCAAATATAATTCTTTCAATAAATGTTTTCAAATACAATTTTCTCAAATAATTATCTTTCAAAATACAATTCTTTTATATAATACTTTCTAAGTAAAAATCCTTCCAAATAAATATTTTGAATATAATTCTTTCAATTAAAAAGTCACCATGTGACACCTCATTTCAAAATCATCAAAATACGGGTCTCAGCCCATTTTTATATTTTCACGGCACCTCGTGCCCATAATTAAATTATCATATTTTCCCGGCACCTCGTTCCCTCATTTCATATCACAACTGCTCGGACAATTCACATGCCAAATATCATTATCATTTCATCATAGTACCTCGTGCCCACATTTTATATCACAACTGCACTGACAATTCACGTGCCAATATCCCCATCTCATATCAAAATTCACGGCACCTCGTGCCCACATTTTATTTTATAAACCGCCTGACAATAGCCACAAGCTTCCAATTTCAACATAAATCAGATTATTATCAATTTACTAACAACAAGATAAGTTGCACAAGGTATAAAAATAAACACAAATAAATCACAACATTACATGAAAATTATCAACACCACAACCCCAAATCATCACATATCGTCCCTGACAATAGCCACCCTTATCGCTCCTATTTCCACCCTTATCGCTCCTATAGCCACTCTTATCGCTCCGCCCATACAATATCAATAGCCACCCTTATCGTTCCGTCCGGACAATATCAATAGCCACTCTTATCGCTCTTATTGCCACCCTTATCGCTCTTATAACCACCCTTATCGCTCCTATTGCCACCCTTATCGCTCCTATAACCACCCTTATCGCTCCGCCCAGACAATATCAATAATCAACAAACACAACAGTAAAATTTCACCCTTATAACTACATAATATCAACGGTGAAATGCCATCCTTATAACCACATAATATCAACGGTGAAATGCCACCCTTATCTCCCCAAAATAACAACTCACACAATACAACAATTTACACGGAAAATTATCACAATAATATAACAAAAATCAATTCATATCACAATTTGCCCAATGGCCACAACCAAATTTCAAAGCTACAACCAAGTCAATTAATTTCACAACAAATATCCAAATGCTCCACACAATGTGTACAACACCCAAAAATAATCAATAGAGATAGAAATTACTCAACATAAAGCAAAGTCTTCATAAAAGATCAAATTTTCAATAATTTTATAAACACCTCTTCTTAAGCTCATTTTATTAATTATTTACAGAGGGAAAAATCCAAAATGAAATCAAATTTTAATAATTATCAAGCCAGCAAATTCACAAAATTTTATAAATAATCAAATAACAATCACATCACATTGTCATATAACAACAGAGTCAACAACAAGGGTTTAGACACGACAAGTAGATGATAAAATTTATGCCAACAATTATCTAATTTACTACACAATATGCTCAAGACTTTAACTCAATAAAATTTGCACATATAAACCAAGTACGTACTCGTCATCTCACGTTCATGGTTTTCAATTACCCAAGTTGCACATAAGACTCAATGCCTAAGAGGAATTTTCCCCACTCGAGGTTAAGCATGACACTTACCTTTTTTGAAGTTAGACCGATATTCCAAAATAGCCTTCTTGCTTGAATTGACCTCCGGGCCGTTCAAATCTATCCAAATTAATTGTATAACTTCATTAAAATTCATCGAAAATAATTTCGGATAATAATACACCGACTTAAAAATTTATTCCAAAAAGTCAATAAAAGTCAACGCGGGACCCGCCTCTCGGAACCCAACATAATTTTCATGAAATCCGAACACCCATTCTAATACGAGTTCAACCATACCAATTTTATCGAATTTCAATAACAAATCGACCTCCAAATCTTAAATTTAAACCAAGAGGGTTTTCTAATTTTTCAACCCAATTCACTAATTTAGTGATAAAAACAACAATAGATTTATGTAATTTAACCAAAATCAAGTTAGGAATTCTTACCCCAATGTTTTCCTTGAAAAACTCTCGAAACATCGCCTCACCCAAGCTTCCTTGGTCCAAAAATAGAAGAATGATACGAATTTGGACTTTATTCTACTGCCTAGGGGTTTGTTCTTCGCGTTCGCGAGACTCCCCTCGCGTTCGCGAAGAACAAATTTTTTAAAAGTCATTTTCAAACTCTTCTCAGATAGCCTCTAGTATAATGGTCATAAAGTTTTGTACAAAACTCCAAATGATGAATGGTTTAACTTTCTGAAAACTAGACTCCAAGGGCTATAACTTTCATTTGTTGCTCATCTCCCAATTCCTTATATATTACGAGATATAATCTTCCAAAGTCATCCCTATGCAATAGAGATTTCCAAACTCTTCCCGGACAACCCATAGTATATCCACCATAACGTTTTGTACACAACTCCAAATGAAAGATGGTTTACCTTTCTGAAAACTAAACACAAAGGACTATAACTTTCATTTTTGGATCATCTCCAAATTCCTTATAGATTGTGAGATATCAGCCTCTAAAATCAGACGACGAACAACAAAATTTCCTTCTTCGCGAACGCGAGAATCTCTTCGCGAACGCGTAGAACAAAGTCCTAACAGCAAAATCCTTCTTCTCGAACGTGAGAGGTTCCTCACGAACGTGAAGAACAACACCAGAACCAGCAACATCAAAACACCTAAACTTGGTCCGGAACCACTCCGAATAAAACCCGAGGCC